ATATATATATATATATATATTTGTTGCTGTTGTTTTTTGCTTTTCTTTTTTTAAAAATAATTTTATTGGGGGCTCATACAATCCTTATCATAATCCATACATCCATTGTGTCAAGCATATATATTTTTAATGCACACTTCTGAAACCAAAATGGCTATTTCTCATGTAGTTATTTGGCTATATGAAGCCAATAAAACCTTCTAAGTGACTGCCTGCTCCTCCCTCAAAAAGATATATTTCCTTCTTTTGTACAAAGTCGATCTGACCTAAACTGCTCTGAAACTCAAGAAGGCCAGTGCGCCAAAAGGAATTCTACAAGATTCCACTCCTAAATCAACTTTACACTACGTCTTTACAATTGGCCGGGATATTCCTTCCAAACCCAATAGTAAAAGAATGGCAACTCCACTTTCCTCCACATACACACGTCTCCTTGTGTTTGAAACCCCTATATTGGTGGCATTTATCCAGATAGTCTCCCTTTCTCCTTCATCCATTGCATTCCTCTCTCATTCGCAGTCATGGCCACGCATATTGCAGATGTTCAACTTTCTGGAATCCAAGCAGGAATGGACAGCTTCAGGGAAAGATCCAGTTTCATTCCCCAATGTATGTGCTCAAGTTTCCCGTGGATCATGGGGAAATGTTCATTGCCTTTTGGTGCTACCTGATAAATATATCCACCTCAAGAATACAGCATCTAGTGCTTGATTACATTAAATTTTTACTGTGGGAAATCTAAATAGGACAATGAGGTCATCCTTGAGGAAGATTGTAATGATGGTGCGGTTTGTTGTTGTTGTTGTTGTTTGTTTCCAATACTGTCTGAAATGCCAACAGAGATAGCAGAGCGGTGATTGGATGGCAGAACTAGTCTAGTTACTCTGAAACGTTTTATGTGTTTTCTTGAGTCTGAATTTTTCAGGTTTCACAGGCATATAGCAATTTGCATTTGGCTACAAATTAAACGGTTGGTGATTTGAACCCACCAGAAATGCCTGCTAATCTTACTTTGTAAATATTACAGCCAAGAAAATCCTAAGGAAGTCAGAGTCAACATGACTCCGAATTTACTTAAGGGCCATTGGGTTGGTTTGGTTGGTTAATTGACTTGGTTTGGTTGGGTTGGTTGGATTGGGTTGGTTTTGATTTGGTTTGGTTGGGTTGTGTTGTGTTGGGTTGGTTGATTTGGTTGGGCTGGTTGTGTTGTGTTGTGTTGGTTTGGTTTGGTTTTTGTTGGGTTGGCTTGGTTTTGGTTTTGGTTTGGTTTGGTACTCCCAAGCAGATTCCACATTGCTCATGCCATCCTTCCAGATTTCCTTTCCTTCCTGGGCACACTTCTAGACTAAATTTTGTTGTCCTTTTGTGGTTAGGTGTGGCCATATGACTGAGTTTTGGCCGATGGAATATGGATGAGAGGAATAGTGTCACTTCTTAGCTTGGCTTCTAAAACCGTTTGGAGCCATCTTTTAAGCTAGTGATTCACAGCCAACAGTCGTTTCTGTCCCTCCTCCCTTGGAGGATATTTGACATTGTCTGGAGACATTTTGGTAATTACAATTGGAAGGTTTCTGCTGGCATGTGGCAAGTGGAGTCCAGAGGTGCTGCTAAGCATTGTACGGTGTCCATGACAGTAAACAAAGAATTATCCAGCTCAAAAAGTCAGTAGGAGAGAGATTGAAGAGTCCTGCTGTAAGCTCTTTTATTATTGGCTCCTGCCTAGCCGCGAGGATCTGCAGAAAGACCTTGAGAAACTTGACGTTGCCTAATCCATGAAATAGGAGATGGACCACAAAAGCCACTCGGTGACCATTGAGTTGGATTGAGACATGAGTGAGAAATAAACGTTTTACTTTGTTAAGTCATTAAGATTTAAGGGCTTTTAGCAAAATAGTCTCCCACCCCCCACCCTGCTCAAAGAAACCCCCCCAAAATAAAAAAACTGAGTAAGACAAATTCAAATATTACACTAATCACTCCTTGTCTTAATTTCCTCACTTATTAACAAATTTTTGGTAGTTACATTATCTGGGGTCAATTTGAGGATTAAGAGTGTAGAGGTGGAGTCTAGCCTGTCAATCAGGATATAGCTAATGAGGCCTCTGTGAGGGCATGGCCTTCTCCTTTGGATTCTGGGAACTCCTGTATTTTCCTCCTTGGAGGTGGGAGACACTCTTTTTATCACTCCCTGAAAAACATCCGAGGAGAAGCCATATGGACATATCCTGATACAACCAGAGCTCTGGGAGCTGAAGAAGCTACGTGAAAACCCCTGCCAGCGTTGAGATGTTTGCAACGAGCGTCATTAGATCCACAAGACTTCCCACTCACTGGCCTGTGATCTTCCAGCATTCGGTGTCATTGCATGTGTTCTGTGAGTCTGAAGAGGACTGTATAGATTGGTATTAGACATGTAGGCTAATATTGGACTTATGGATTTGATCTGGACTGGGCTGGGATGTGTTCTCGATATTCAATTGCTGTTGTATATAAACCTTCTTCTTATACACATTTGAGTCTGCCTGGATTTGTTTCTCTAGTCTACCCAGACTAACACAACATTCTTCATAGTTGTTTGGGTTTTTTGTTTGTTTGTTTTTTAATTTAGAGAGTGTATATTTATTAAACACTTAGGACAGTGCTTGGTTTGCCATTTGTTATTATATCTATGAAAATCTATTTATCTTGCGACCCATCTACATAAAGGACTATTTTATGAGGACAATTGTTGAGTTCCTTGAGGTGCTGAAGGACCAAAGGAGAATCGGTGCATTTGAATGATGGTGCTGGTGAAGAATATTGAACAGCCAAGTATGTTGAAGTGATGCGCTCCAAGTATGTTGAAAGTGATGCGGACGAAGAGCTGCTTTTTAATATTCCATTTACCGGCAATGTCAAGCTTAAAGGCATCATCGTAATGGGAGAGGATGACGACTCGCACCCCTCTGAGATGCGGCTGTATAAAAACATTCCACAGATGTCCTTTGGTGATACAGACAGGGAGCCAGACCAGACCTTTAGTCTGAACCGGGATGTTACGGGAGAATTAGAGTATGCTACAAAAATTTCTCATTTTTCAAATGTCTACCATTTCTCTATCCACATTTCAAAAAACTTTGGAGCAGATACCACCAAAATCTTTTATATTGGTCTGAGAGGAGAATGGACTGAGCTTCACCGACATGAAGTGACCATTTGCAATTATGAAGCATCAGCCAACCCCTCTGACCACAAAATCCATCAGGTTACTCCACAGACTCACTTCATTTCCTAAGAGCTGCCCACGGCTCCCACAGAGGCTCTGTGCCAGTGAAGATAACACAGCTACCATGGACAGCCAAAAGAACCAATAGATTTGTCTTGGAAGAAGTACAGTCAGATAGCTCCGTTGAGGCAAGGATGGTGAAACTTCTTATGATGTATTTTGGACATGTTTTCAGAAGAGACCAGTCCCTGGAGAAGGACATCAGCAGAAAAGTGGAAGACCTTCTACAAGAAGGATTGACACAGTGGCTATATTGATGGGCTCAAACCTAAGAACAGTTGTGAGGCTGGCACAGGACAGAGCAGTGCTTTGTTCTGGTGCATGGGGTCGCTCTGAGTCAGAACCGATTAGATGGCACCTAACAACAACAACAACAAGAACACTGTATGGCATTCCACCCATCCCTCACTATTTGACCTGTTTAAGTTCTAAAGACTAAGTCCGTATGGAAAATCATCGCTTTGAGAAGAGGGAGAAAGATGGCAATATCAGATTACAAAATGCAGCTTGACTACCTCAATACATAACTGACAGATAATATAATTACATAACAGCAGAACCATGGAGAAACATGACCTTGTTAAACTGACATAAAACTTCAATCATCTGGGCCAGCGTTCTTTGCCCTAGTGCCCTAGCATACATTACTTCCATATTATGTTGTCCATATGGGAAATAGTTGAAGAGTGTATTGTTTACTATTGTCATAAATGTCAGATAACAAAAGAGTCGATTGTGTGGAGTTGTTGTTGTTGTTATTGTTAGGTACCACTGAGTCAGTTCCGACCCATAGCAACCTTATGCACAACAGAATGAAACACTGCCTGATTCCACACCATCCTCACAATTGTTCCTATGCTTGAGCCCGCTGCTGCAGCCACGATGTCAGTCCGTCTTGTTGAGGGCCCTCTCTTTTGCTGCCCTTCTACTTTCCCAAGCATGATGTCCTTCTCCAGGGACTGGTCTCTCCTGCCAATAGATCCAAAGTATGTAAGACAAAGTCTCACCATCCTTGCCTCTAAGGAGCACTCGAGCAGTAGGAGTATATTATATTTTACAACTCACTCACTGCTACCCAGTTGATTACAACTCATCGTGCCCCTATAGGACAAATTAGAACTACCCTTTAGAGTTTCCAAGAATGTAATTCTTTATAAGAGCAGAAAGCCTCATCTTTTCCCCACGGAGCAGCTGGTGGAGCCAAACTGCTGAGCTTTCAGTTATTAGCCCAACATGTAACCCAAACACCACCAGGGCTCCTTGTACATTACATTACATTGCAGTAAGTTATATTACATCATGAAAGGTAATCTCCTCTGCCAAAGGCCAATGAATTTAATCATCCCATGACCCATGACAGTATTTAGACAAGTGTATGGACCAACCACTATGAATCATAGCCTAACCAAGTTGATACATAAAATTAATCATCATGATTACTATAATTTAGTGCTTATAACTATGCCTGAGACATAATCGTTATACAACAAATTCATAGTGAATGGAGTTCCACCTATGTCTCCAGTTTTAGGGGAGCCATCTAATATCCTTCTAGCCACATGTTATCATAACAGTCAAAAGTTAGTATGTATATTCCAGACTAAATATAATGATTTGTACTTCTCAGAGAGCTCTTATATCAACCATAGATCATTTCATGGCTGTTGTTCTTTTCTTCAGTCTCCCACCAGCTATACCTTTGATGAAATACTACACTTTTATTCCCTGCATTTGTTACTTCAGTGAACAGACATATAATGTAAAGAGAAAAAGTGCCCAACAACCAGAGGGGGCATGCTGCCATTTGTTTCAGCTTTGTGTTATGGCCCAAATTCCATGAGGTATTATGAGTGAATTATGCAATTCCTGAAAGCATGAAAGAGCTATAAGTATTGTCAGCACCATTGCTCTAAGTTCAGTAGAAGAGGAATGGGATTTCTCAAAAATGAACATGATATGTTCAGAGAAGAGAAGTCACCTGTTTCTAATATAGCAAACACAATGACCATCGTTTGATTGGCCTACCTATAAAGGAATGGGATCCTACTCCTACAGCGAAAAGATGGTTAAGGATAAATCACTAGATAAATCCAGTGATGCTCGGATAAAAGTGAAGTCCTTTGCAAGTGAGGATGCCCATCAAGAAGTAATACAGAAGTATGTTGAATCACAATTTTATGATTTTGTCGGTATTATTTAATATTTTAAAAGTCTTTCTTATAGCATAATATAGTTTTGTATACTTTTTTGTTGTTCTTATTTAAGTATTACTCATATAACATAATAAACAACCTTTTGGTATATTATTTTTTTAAAGTAAAACGGTCATTAGGGCAGCAAACCACTTGTGAAATTATTTGAATCCCACCACCAAAGGGAGCCCGCATTGCTTTTGTCACATTCGAGGCCGTACTGACTTCCCAATCTACTGTAAAGAATGCCAAGGCCGTACTGACTTCCCAGTCTACTGTAAAGAATGCTGCGGATGGCTCTGGCTCTGGGCCTCGAGGACAGTTAGTGGCATGTGCTAATTTCCAAATGGAGATGTAGGCTGCCAAATGTTCCCTCTCCCACCCTCCTCCGTCTCCCCCATGTGGATCCAGGATTGAGACTTCTGGTGTAGACTATCCGTTATAAATATAGAAACACCCAAGGCTCACCAAACACTCGCAAAGAAAAACATCAGAGGAAAAAACAGCAAAAGAATCAAGCCCCGAGGAAACAAATAATTTCAATGAAGATCATATCACTCAAGGTAAACCTGTTTAGCATTATTTTGGAATTTTGAAAGGCTACTGCATACATAAAATAAGCAATGCTGCTCTAAAGATGTGAAAACATTTGCATATAGCATTTAGGTTTCTTGAAAAACATTTTTTTTCCTTGTTGAGACATTTCCACTTGCTCTACTCCAGGGCTTGTAAACCTTGGAACCACATTTTGAGCTAGATAATGCATGCATTGTAGGATGCTTAGAAGTATCCATGTCCTCTACCCACTAACAGCTAGTAGAACACCCCTCCCTCGATCGTGGCAGCTAGAAGAGTCCAGGCATTGCCAAACATCCCGAGAGTCAGTGGTTCCTCTCTTTCTGAATGAAAACCACTGGTCTACCCCAAGAGGAAACGATGGCATTTCAGTAAGAAAATACAAGGGACAATCCATTTGGTCAACACACCAGAAAACTCTGCTTTCGGTGATCTTGCCAACCAAAATCTTGGAGAGACTGGTTTTAAGATATTTGTAGAGGTCATATTGTCTCACTTTAAAAATAGATATACATTCTCCTAAAAATAACAAGAATTAAAATTTAGTGCTTGCTTAGTTAGAATGTGTCAGAAACTAAAATAATATTTTGATCAAATGCTTTCACTTAATCCTCAAAACAACCAGGTGATCAATTGATTATTACTATCAGCCTTTATATAGAAGGGCTGGTAAGACATGGAGCTATTAAGGAGCCTAGCCAAGTTCATGTAACTTGTCAGTCAGAGTTCCACTTAAAAGACTAGGTGGTCTAACTCCAGAGACTGTATCTATCCACACTTCAGTGCACTCTCCCTTCATACAAGCGTGATTCTAATGGAAGCCTGTCTTGCTTGGAAATGGCAGGAGTGAGACTGAGGCAGTTGACACTCTCTATGACTATGCCTCAAGAATGAAAAGCAGCCTGTGCTGATTTCCAAGTGGTGACGTAGGCTGTTGATGGGCTTCTTCATTCATCAGTAGGTCAATGCCTACCTCACATAGGCCTTTGACAGCTTATTAAATGAGTCAGAGTGGCTTTGCCCAGGGAAATTTGTAGGGAAAACCTGATGGGGTGCCCATTTTTACACTCCTGTTGGGCCATTTTCTTTTTGAGAATGGGCAGCCTCCACCTTCAAAGGAACATTCTGGAAGTATATCCAGAATGAGACTTTGTCTCACTTATTTTAGACATGTTATTAGGAGGGCCAAGTGCTTGAGATGGACATTGTGCTTAGTAAAGTCGTGGGGAAAACCCCAAGCCCATGCCATTGAGTTGATTCTGAGTCATAGCACCTGTGTATTGGACAGAGTAGAACTGCTCCTTGGGGTTTCTGAGGCTGTAAATCTTTATGGGAGACGAAAGCCTCATCTTTCTCCCATGGAGCAGCGGGTGGGGTTGAACAGTCGGCTTTGCAGTCAGCAGCCGGACATGTAACACATACCATCAGCAGCAGCACTGCTTTGGTAAAGTAGGGCCCAGTGACAAAGCAGAGCTCCTCAATGAGGCAAATCAACATGGCAGCTACCACAGTAGACTCAAACACAGTAATAATGGAGAAGATGATGCAGAACCAGGCAATGTTATTTTCTGTGATAAAGAACGTGGAGATGGGTCAGTCAGTCCAGGGCACCTCACAACAGCAACCAACCCAGATTTAACACCATCGGAAACATAGACAGTGGCAGTGAGTCACCCGCGAAGTGATGGTGCCCACTCACACAGACACAGACCCCAAGTATGGCATGCTCACATAACTTCCAATTTGGAACCTCTAGGAACCACAGCGACATACCTGCAGAACCGCACTGCATTCAGAGTACCGAGCAGAGTGCATGACGCATGGCAACAGGCACTGGTTTCATGACAGTCGTTCTAGTGGCTGAAATTCCTTTCTTACGAAGTTGCCTCTGGCTCTCTGTGCTTCTGATTTGAACCTTGGGTTCCTTGTTAAATTTCTTTTTCGGTTTGCTCAGGGATTGTGCACCTGGTCTCTCGTCTGTGGGTCTTGCTAAACCATGTGCTTATCAGGATTAGCCCCCTGCACAGCCCACACTCGGAGCCTGGGTGTGCTGTGGTTTTCCTGTGTCTCTTTGACCTTTGTGTCTGGCTTACCCTCCTTGTCCCGTTTTGATGCCTGGCTCCCTAGGCTTGTGTCCAGCACCTCAGCGACTCAGCTTGGACAATTAGGATTCAAAGAAGGAAGAAAAAGAGGTGGAAGTACTGCTTAGGACATGAGCTTGGGAAAGAACACCAGCAGAAC